CGCTGCCCATGCTGCTGCACTAGGGGGCTCTTCCCGCCAGCCCCAAGGTGAAGCTGCCCAGCCGGGGGGCGTTCTCAGGGCTGTGGCGCTTGGGGTGAGCCGCTGGCACACTTCCCTTGGGACCACACGGCTTTGATCTGCTCCCGGGGCTTCGAAGGGAAGGGCAGGAAAGCCGGCCGTCTCCTTCGCGCCACGTTTGGCGCCTGGTGCCTTCACGGGTGCCTCTCTCCGCGGGGCTTATTATGGCAGTGCTGCGGGAGGACTTGGCTGCGCCTCTTCCCCAGCAGGTTATCAACGGCCAGCAGACTTCCTGACGGGGACGGGACGGGGACGGGCGGGGGCGCAAGCTCCGTGCTGTTTCACGCCTTCCCCCAGAGCGAAAGAAGCCCTTCAGCTGCCCTGGGAAGGGGGGGGGAGGGGACGCTGCCTGCCTAGAAGCGCCCGCTTGGGCCGGGCGGCCGTGGCTTCCCGCCCAGAATGCAGCAGTGAGACCCTCTCTGGGGCTGGCTGCGGGGCTCCCTTCAGCTCCTCCCAGGCCACCCCATCCCTCAGGGTGCCAATGAAGGCCGAGGTTTCCGTGCCTTGGTGGCCTCAGCCGGGGAAGGAAGCAGGCGGGGCCCTTGAGGAGCCTGAAGGAGACCCGGCAACCTGGAATCGCTTATGGGGGAGGCGGCCATAAGTGGGGTCTTCCCTCCGCAGCAAGGCTGGGAGCAGATTCCCACCGCCACAACGCCTGTGGGGGCCAGAGGGTGGGGGAGCTGAGTTTGGCTCTGCCTGTTGGGCTCTGCCTGAGTTTGGCTCTGCCTGTTGGGTGACCTCGGCCCCCCAGGAGGGCTGGGCTGGGCTGGGCTGGGCTGGGGCCTGCTGCCTTTTGCCATGACTGCTGTTCTCTGTCCCGACACGTGCGGAGGGGAAACGGATCCCACTGGCCCTGCACCCTTTGATTTAAATTGACTAGCCGCCCAACTCCAGTGGACTCTCTTTGCTCTCGCGTGCCCTTCCCTTTGGGACTGGGGTGATGACTCTCCAGTTGAGACGCACCTTTGGGGGCTCTGCAAGACCCTCCCCCGGCCCCAGATCCTAAGCATTATCACTGCCTGCTAATCAGGGGACTCTGCTTGGGTCTCTGGAGCAGAAGCTACAACTGCCTGCTCAGGCGGAAGCACCTGAAGGATGGGGGCCTTCCCAGCCTTTGGGCGAGCTCTGGAGGCCCAGTGTCCCCACCCCTTCGGGCTTGGCCCTGCCCACTTCTCATTTCAGCCCCGCCTACCAGACGGCCCCCAAGGCTCCGGGTGCCTGCAGCAGCCCTTTTCAAGGAGGGGTTCAGCTCAGCCCCTCCGCGAGCCTTGCCTTGCCTTGCCTTCCCGTGGCCCTCGAGCCCACGGGCGGATGGGCTCCTCCACCTTGGCTGGGGACGGCGGGGGATGGTCCTAAAGGAAGCTGGGGTGCCTTTGCTTTCTTTGCAAACGTTGCATAGCGTCCCTAAACTAAATTCCTGAAATGAGAGAAGGAAGGGGCGGGTGGGGGGTGGAAGGGACTCTGCCTTCGAACAAAGGCTGAATTGTGAAGCAGAGTCTCATGAACGGCCCCCTTGAAGCAGCCCGGCTGCTGCGGACGTTTCCCGGGAGATGTTCTGTGCTGGCGAGCGCGTGGAGGACCTGGCACGGCTGAGCTGGGCCCCTTGGGGTCGCCTGGCAGAGGCCCTTCGCAGGAGCAGCTCTCTCCCCAGAAACAGACCTTGCTGGTTACGGGCATCGGTGCCAGAGAGTCCCGGGTTCATTTGTCATCTAGTCCTTGCTCATGTTCTCTGAGGCTTTGGCGAATTCCCTCCGAAAATCAGAGTAAGTTGCACTTCTCTTTGGGCTCCAAGGCTCATCCAGTGATGCTCATAGACTTGGGAGGGGTTTGGTTTCACCATGAGAAGCTGCAAGGGCGGGACGACTCTTTCGGTCTTTGGTGAATGGACAAGCGTCGGGCATACACTGGGCATAGGGCGCAGGTACCAGTGTCTCCTTCCTGCACGGGGAGCTCCTGAGATTCAACGTGCAGGTGGAGAGTGTAAAATGGGTTCGATGTGAGGGCACTGAGCTGTGCATATGGAGACCTGGGTGCAACAGCAAGGAACATGCACAACTCTCAGCCAGACCCGTGAGGGCCAGGGGCCACTTGCTGGGATTTAGTAGGCAGAGGCTGTTCAACCTGGCTGAGAATGTCGGCATGTCCAAAACCGGCCTGATGCAAATCGCTGCTGCATCTAACGGGCTGGTCTGGGCTTGGGTTGAGACTCCCTCCGAATTAACAGTCTTTCCTTTCTTGCAGGTGAGTCTGGGCTCCCCTGGGACGGAAGGGGGGCAGAAAAGCTGCCCCAGCAGTCCATCCTGACCTGCTTGTGCTTGCTCCTTGGACCACCCCAGCACACCCTGCAGGGGAAGGAAGACTTGCCACACTTCTAAGGATGGCTTGACAGGTTGGCAACCAACCTGGCCTCTGGAGGGGACCTGCTGCAAAGGAGGCCTCTCTTTTACCTGGCGGGGCTTGGGAGGTTTTCTGGAGGGAATACTGGTGACGCTGAACCTGCTTGGAAGGGCCCATCTGGAGTGGGGGCCCCGCCAGCTGACCGCCCATAACACTTCACCTCTGCCGGGAGCGCCCCGGTCATCGTCCCCTGTCCTGCCGGGGACCCGCAATGGGGGCTGGCCTCTCCACCGGGGCTGTCATTGCGATCGTCTTCAACGGCGTCATTGCCTTCCTCGTCCTGGCCCTGCTGCTCATCCTCTGCAAGGCCTGCAGGACCCCCTCCTGCCCCGACCAGAGTCCTCCGTCTGAGTCCGACGAGAGGGGCAACGAGGAGAAGTACCTGCTGCAGCCCTGAGTTGGCGAGGGCTTGTGCGCGTCGGTCGGGTTGCCCAGGCCGGCTCACCTTCCTCCTTGCCTAGTGGACGGGCAGGGGTCTCGGCGCCATGGAGGTGGGCGACTGCGGTGGGGCTCGGGAGCGGAGGAGAGGCTGGGCCTGGCAGAGGCTGGCGGAACAGCGAAACCAGCTGGAGTTGATCTGCCAGCATTCGGGGGTGCATGGCCAAGGCAGTCCCTGAGGCAGAGGGCGGACCTCTCAAGACGGAGGCTAGCCCAGCTGTGCAGGAGCAGCATGGAGTCCTTCCTCTGACGTCGGCCGGGTGGCCCTGAGCCTTTGGTGGTCCTGGAGGCCATGGAGAGTTTCTCCTGCTCTCCTCCCAGCAGGCTGGCAGAGGCCTGAAGCCAGCCAGCAGCAGCAGAGCAGAGTCGATCCATGGATGGGTGCCCGGGTAACTTGGGCGGGGGCGAAGCGTCGGGGATGGGGACAGGGCAGGGAGGAGGGCACCTGGCCCTTTCCTGGAGCAGACACATCCTGAAGGCGTTTGCGAGCTGGGTTGCCCCTGGAGGGACGGCAGGGTTGATTCCTGGACCTCCAGGTGCTGGTGCCGGAGGGAGGGCTGAGCCAGGGCCCAGGGCTAACTACCTCTAGGCAGATGTTCGCAGAGTCCCGAGAGAGGCAGGAAATGAATGTGGAGAGAAGGGGGGAACAGCAAGCCGGAGGCTGCAAGATGGGGCCTGGGCACTGCTGGGCTGGGGCTGGGGCTG